TTATCTATAAATGGTTTAATAAAATGGTGCATTTTAAAGGTTCAATTACAGATAGATTTTTCCGTCTATAAATTTGTCAAATATAGTTATAGACAGAAAAAGCTGTTTGTAAATTGCTAGATGAAAAGTCGGTCAAAAATAGCAATATTTATAGACGAATTTTCTCGTTTGTAACTCCTGTTCCAAAATTTTCTCCCATTTTCAAATTACAGATGAAAAAATCCTTCTATAATTCCTATCTATAATACTTCGTGCCAAATGGTTGGCCAACTACAGACAATTATTACAGATAGATTTTATCCGTCTGTAATACAGATGACTTTATAGACAGATTTTTTAAAAATTTTTTTAAAAAATCAAAAATCAAAAATCCGTCTGTAACGACCGTCTGTAAATAACATTTTTTTAGTGGTGACTACCTATAATATACACATGCATGGTCATTGCAGCAACTGAAAAATAAATCAAGCAGTTATTGTTTTGGACAACTCATTTCTTCTGCTATTGTTCCAGACATAGTGACATTCAATACTTTGATGACTGGTATTTGTAGTGATATATTGGATCATACTATGATTCTTATTGCAAAATTACTTAAGATGATTTTTTTCAAATGTGGTTACAATCAATATATTATTGTCTCACTTATGCAAGTAGGGGATCCCAGAAAAGGCCTTACTATGCTCCGTAACAACTCATGGACATTAGAAAGATGTCACTTTAACTCCCTAATTGGCTAAATGTGCTACTCTTGGTGCAAGAGCAATAAGAGTAACATTAAGTATTGGGAGGTTGCTATCCAATATGTGGGTTAGACATAACACCTTTAATACTTTGATGGTAATTAGATATCAAATATATTTATGTCTTTTCAGTACATTAAGACAAATCATCGTTAAGAATTATTCCCATGTTGATAATGTTTCTTCTTCAATAATGACAAAAGCTATAGGAAGCACACTGTTATTTTCATCTTGAGTAGTAGCAATTAACAATGTTTGTTTGTACTTACCATAAAAAATGTACTATCTACTTGTATTATAAGGTTATAGAACTTGAATGCTTCACGACATTGGCTAAATGACCAAAACAATGAATGAAAGACTCTGAATCTATTATCCATTACATTACCTCTAACATAATTATTAGTCTCAATTTTGTAAACCAACGCAAGAACATGTAATTGCATTTATTCCAACCATCTTGGCAATATTGCATAGGATTCATCCCAATTACCAAATATTGTCATAATTGCTTTTGTTTCGCATTCCATACTTTTTTGTATAAAATTGAATACCTAAATTGTCCATTTATTCTCTCTTGGATTAATGAAACTGGTACTGACGGTTCTTGTTTCACCATACTTGTCATTCATAAAAATAATGTCTCGGGTGATAATATTTAAACATCATTTCTAAGAAAACAAACAAAAATGACATTACCTTCAAATTCACGTACCAATAATGCATAAACAGATAAAATTTGAATCCAACTTTTTGTAGTCTTGAGAAATCATTGTATTTACGCATGTATGCGTACAATTCCATTTCATAATTTTTCAATTATTTGTATTTTTTGGCAAAAATGTTCTTACTTTCCAAGGACATCCAATATTATGATTCATACACTTCATAACATGAGTTATCACTTTTGACTCAACCACAAAAAATGCTTGATCTTCCCTCATTGCATAATATTTTATTGCCATTTTAACATCCCTTTTAGAGTTAAAGAGTTGCCTGACATATGATGCATCTCCTTATATCCATGATTGTGACGAATGCAATTCAGGAAAATCCAATTCTTAATCAGGGTATTCTCAATTAATCTTAGTATAATGTGAACCTATATTTCAAAAATGTATTACAGAATATGTATTAAACTTCCACAATGTAAGTTATTAAAATTTCACAAATAATTAATTATATAAAATAATACCTGTTAATTGTTGTTACACCTCGCTATTCTTTCAACATTTAGAATATTGAGCATTATATAAAAATTGTCATCCAAATTAGTATCAGAAGAACTGTTTAAAGGGATTTGTTCTTTATCTTCATAGTCATCTTTTTCATCTGCAGATCCTACATTAACATGGTTTATTAATAAATTAGTAAATTTCAAACAATATTATTTAATAAAGTATTTATATTAACTCTTCCAATTATATACTCTTCTTCATTGTCATTAACATTTACAGGTGAGAGTGATAAATTTAAAGCTAATGATTGTGCAACAACATGAGAAGTTTGACCAACTGCAATATTCACATATAACTCATCACCACATACATTTAAAATTGTGTGATTTTCACTCCTTACATCATCAAAATTCGTGCAATTAATCTACTACTAGACAATCTCAATTTTGTATATATCTTTCTTTTTAACATCTCGAAGGTAATATCATGTTCTATTTTAATCATCTTTTTGTTACTTTCAAATATTATATTCTCATTTCTTTTGTACACTCTTTCATTCTAATATAAAATAACCACAATTTCAGTCACCCTTCATATCAAAATTTTAATAAAAAAATAATGAAAATAGATTAACTGCTTAAACAAATACTAATAAAAAATATTAAAAATAAATTAAATTAAAAGAGATCTATATTTACATTTTAAATATTATACTTATACGTAATAAATTTTATTCATAACACAACAAATATTTTAATTTTAAAAATTAATAATTACATAAAATTAAATTATTTTTACTCTAAATACAACTTTAAATGCATTATAGTTTTTTTTTATATTATAATATTATTATAATTACAAATTTTTATTTCAAAATATTCATAATAATATAATCTAAATCTTAATTGCAAAAATTTTAAGAATTCAAACTTCTAACCTGAAAATTTTTTCTTTTAGTTGTTTCTTTAAATTAAACTTCTCCCAATATGTAGAGAATGCACATTCTTTTCAAATATGTATACACTTCATATAGGATAAAGACTTATGGGCAAAGGAGTGTATTAGTTTTTCAACTGTAGGATAAAAGTATATTTGGCAGTATAAAGCACGAGTCAAATTTCAAATTTTCATTAGTCGATATATAAATGTCAAAAATTAATATACTAACATATAAGTGTTAGAAATTAATAAACCAACCTAAGTGTTTGACTCTTCACTTAAATATCATAAAATTATTTGTCGACATAATTAACATATGACAGTGAATTAAGTTAGTGTTGACTTTTTACCTATTTGACACTCCTATTTTAGTAATTAAAAATTTATGTCGTTATTTATTAAATTAACACTAATAATAAAAAAATAAAAAATAATTATATCTGCCGTAAATTTTAAGACACTTTATTATTCTCACCTAGACATATAATGTCTTGCCCAATCACCCGATAGGGTGAACTACTTTCTCCATTAACCGAGTAAAAAGAACCCATAGTAGCTCTCAAAGCGAAGTGCTTTTTTGAGTGGAATTAATTAGTTAGCGAACTGGGCTAGGGCCAACATACTTTGTTCGAAGTCCAACACCAGAGGCTCGACATTAAAAAAAAAAAAGGCATTTTCGGCTTCCACCTGTTATAAGTACTCATAGCCGCTGTCGACTCTGTTAGGGTTTTCAGTTTCCCCTTTGTTTGCTACTTTGCATATATTTTGGGGTTTAAATGAAGTTATCTTATTTGTATGTGTGAGTCTATGATTGTGAGGGCTGAGGCATATGGGGAAGAGCATCGTTAAACTATGGCTCTGAAAAACCTGTAGGTGCTCTACGGGGTGCCCCGCTATTCAAGCCCTTCACATTAAATATATGGCATCATAGTACGGATTTTGTGCTCTGTGGGTGGTTCTTGGATTTGGGAATTTGGTATCTGGAAAGCCTTCGCCTTCCCCATTTTCACTCTTCCTTTCCATCCCACTTTTTTCCACCACAAATCCGCCTCCAAACGCCATTACAATGTAACCGTCAGTTTTTTTTTTTTTTTTTCGTTTGACCTTTTTCTTTTTCTTTCTGTCTAATATAAAATGCAGTTTAGATGCTAAAATCACTAATTCCTTTTTTCTTTTAATTAAATTGCTGTTTTATAGATGTTTTATTAAGTTTTTAAAAATTTATTTGGACATTACTTGTAATCCAAAGGACGTAAGGGGTAACTTTTGCAGATGATAGGGATTTTTCTTAAAAATTTAAAGACTTTGATCCATGTCTTCATTCCAATAACCGGTGTTTGCCAATCCCTATGGTATTTGATTTAATCAGTCCACGGTAATCAGCAAATCCATCCTGGGTTTTGATCGTTCTCAATGGACCCTTAACCGATTCTCAGTAGCAACACGAACAAAATTAATGCAGAGCTATTACTCGAAGTTGATTTATGAAATATGACCCTTAACCACCAATATTGTATTTCGTCTGTCTCGATTCAATCCTGTGCCCTGAAATTCGGTGGTGAAAAACATGGTTCTTTACGTATAAAATTGAATCAAATAACGGGTTTGAGAAATGAGGTGCTACAACAAATAAGTACATCTTAGTCTACCTACCTTACTTTAAGGAAACTTTACATTTCACCTTGATTATACAATCAAGAGAATACATAAAAATTCACTTAACACCGACGAAAACAAAGTGAGTTTATTCATTTAGTGTATGCCATAGTTCCTGCAGTGGCATTGTAGTCTTTGGATTCTGCATCTTTCAAAGAACAAAAGAATTTTGGGAATTTGTGGAGTTTCCGATGGCACTTCAAAAACACATTTTTGTGTTGGACACAAGCGCCCTACAAGTATTACTAAAGTGGATCACCCTATATTGACCCTAATGTAGTAAGCATTGGTTGCATGAGCAGCCATTTGGGTTATTGAGTCTCTCTGTCCAGTGTCAATCCTTTCCCAACGGCACCAGCCAAATTCACTCGGTTCAGAAGCATGAAACTTAGCATTCCAGTTCAATATGCAAGAACCAGAACAAGAACCAATGTAAATCAGAACATTTTGTTAATTAAATTAAAAGTCCTTGCTAAGTACTCTTAAATTGGAGGAGACATTGAATATATGTGATTATTTAAACAAAATACATTACTTCTTACTTTAAGACTGATACTTACAACTACTATTTCGGTCTATTTACACGTTCTCACAGTCAAGCTACTGAAGCAGTTTCGTGGAGAAGAATAATACCAAATAGCAAATTAAAGCTCAACACATCCTTTACTAGAAAACCGTATTGTTACTATATAAGCATGCATTTCACTTACATAACATCATTGGTAGAGTTCTGGTTTAGATAGTCTAAGCTTTGGAATAACGACTAGTGGCTTCATTTTCTTGATGACAATGCCAAATTTGCCTGAAAATTCAAGCACCGTGCCACTAGGCAATCTCCACTCAAAGGAATGTAATAAGGAAGCCAGCATAAACATTACCATCTTCTCAGCAAGAGGTAGCCCTGCACAAATTCTTCTTCCTGATCCAAAAGGAAAATACTCAAATTTGTTGCCCGAGTAATCCAAGTTCCCACCCTCATTCAGAAACCTTTCAGGTCGAAATTCTAATGCATCTTCCCAAATATCAGGGTCCCTATGTATGGTCCACACATTCAACAGTACTTGTGCACCTTTTGGTATGGTATATCCACCAACAGTGCTATTTTGACTTGGACAGCGTGGTATCAAAAAGGGAAGAGGGGGATGCAAACGAAGTGTTTCCTTTATTACAGCTTCTAAGTACTGCAATTTGGATAACTGGGATTCTAATTCAACACAGTTGTCCAATCCTATTACCGCATCCAACTCTTCATGAACTTTCTTCATTGCCTCTGGATGCTGCAACAGCCTCGCCACCACCCATTCCAATGTCGTTGATGTGGTCTCAGTTCCACCCACCACAATGTCCTATATGCATAAACAAGCATGTAGATTTACATATTTTAATTGGTGCCATAACAAAGTCCAGACCAGAGCGAAATTTCACTTACACAATTTTTTTTCCTGCATCTAATTTCCTGTGTATAAAATAGATTGAATAATGCAAGTAATTATAGAACTATGTCCTATAATTAAGAAACCCATATGAGATACTGAAGAATAAGCTATTCTTTTTTTTAAATTATGTTGACCAAGAGATGTTGAAGCTGCATAGATTATTTGAATTGAACCAAATAGCATTAACCAGGGGCAAAATATAGAATGAGCGCAGAGATAATAATTTCATATTAATTCGAACCAATCCATATGCTCCCATTTTTAATAAGATTCCGGCTAAAAACATACAAGTGCTGTAACGTGCCTCCCCGTGGGTGTCTGGCATGTGGGTAATTGTTTCTTATGTTATGTTTCCTCTGTATAATTTGTATATATTCTCATATACAATTATATGCTTTAAAGAATCATCACAATCTTAATATTTTGATTTCAGGCTCACTAGTATATGAGGAACAGCGTATGCAAATGTCTAAAGATGGGATTTTGATGCACTTTGTGTAGGGAAATCCCAACTGGCCTTACAAATGTTGCTCAAATAATGTGTCTATTTTTCTCTTCACAACTAACTGTAGTGTAAAAATGGATATCCCCTACAAATCCCTCAAAGATGAGGTTAAATGATAACTGTGACCCGAGTGATAAAATATTAAACAAGTTAGAGATAACTTGGACTAGGAAACATACTATGAGGATGGCCTTGATCTCGTTCATAGTCATTGATGCTGAATCACTATCGCTCTTCGTAAGCTCCAACAGAAATTGCAGGAAATCTTTCTTCGTTGACTTATTTTCTGCACTCTCTGTCACATTCATTCGCTTTTCGATTGCAGAATCAAAAAGCCTATCAATCCACTGGGATACCCTTCTTGTTCTTCTCTCGATTCCTTGTAAATCAAACCAGGCTAGTCCAGGGTAAAGATCAGAAATATTTGGCTTCCCAATTAACACCATAAGTTCAGACACCAATGCTCTAAACTCAGCCCCAATAGCAACCCCTTTTTCTCCTTGCAAGGTCTCACCCCAAATCATACTCATTATTGAATTTGTAGCAGTTAGAAAAGCCAACTCACCCACATTTACGGGAGACCCTATTTTCTTCTCATACACATCTTTGATGCACTTTTTAACCTCTACCCTTCTATGACAAAAAGAGTTACTGATGTTGGTGTTGCTAAGCATCTCACGCACCAAAATCTTGCGAGCCTTTCTCCACTGTGGACCATGAGGCAAAGAAGCTATATCAGTGCCACCATACAAGGCAACCAATGCAGAAATGGGTGGGTCACGGTTGGCAAATATGGTGTCTTGGTCAAGCACTACCTCTTTCCCCAGAGAGGGTGAACTAATAACTACATATGTTTTGGTTCCCAACATGAGCTTGAAAATCGGACCATAAACACGTGTAAGGTTGTCGAATTTGAGGTGCGGAAGGGTTCCTAGAAAGGGTAAGTACCCAACAAATGGCAAGCCTAGGGGACCCGGAGGTAATGGAGATGGAAGGGTGGTTTCATTGCTTGGATTCTTGATCCTCTGAAAGAACCATAGTAATAGCACACAGATAAGGGTGACCGAAATGGTTGGAATCAGCTGCGAGTTGGTGGTGTCACACAACCATGGCAATGTGACACAAAATGAACTCGGTAGCATTTTGGATTCGGCTGGGTGAACTTACCTTCCTCGTGTTATCTAGTTATATTTGCTTAATCAATATGTGGATGTGACCCAATAACTGTAGAATCTACAGTGGTTGAATCTATAGCGTAGATGTCATAATCTCTTAGATGTATCTAAAAGAAGTGCCAATCCAAGTCAATGCAAGACAACCCAGAAAAGAAGATATAAGCAGCTATGGTAGATCCCGGATAGTTCTTGCTGTAATTGTGGCCTGCCGTTAGAGTCAACTTTAAATGAATAAATCCAATCTGATTCACTTTACTAGGTAGACAACAAATGTTAGGTTGGTTTAACTCAGTAATTTGGTGGTTGATTTATTAAATAAAAATGAAAAATCCAAAGAATGAAAGAAAAAAAAAATTCCTTAAAAATAGATCATAATTATTTAGGTTATATTTGGTAAAAAAAGTAAAAGTTGCTAGTTTGTAATTATGTTATTTGTTAAAAGTTGTACATTTATAATTAAAAGTGTGTAGTTATTTAAATATTTTATTAAATTAAAATTATTAATAAATTAATTGTGCAATAAAATGATTTATATTAAATAATTTAAAAAATATATAATATTATATTAACATAATATTAAAATTAAATATTACTTAAAAAATAGAATACAATGAATACATATTTTTATGATATTTATTATATAAAAAAATAAAAAATTTAACAATAAATGTTAATATAAAAAATAATTTTTAATGTAAAATACATTTAGATAGAAGAGATTCTAACAATTATAAAGGTAAATAAAATAAAAAATAATAATAAACTTAATATACAAATAAATTTTTAATTACATATAAAATAAATTATTATTTTTGAAAAAAGGTAAAAATAATAATGAAAATTCTGTATAATTTTTTTAAAAAAATTAAACGTTTCTTTAAATAACTTTAAAAAATTTAACTTTAAAAACTTATATTTTTTTTATTTATATCAAACAACTTAATAATTTACAAGTTTTTAAATAAATTATAAAATTTTTATTTAACATAATTTTAATAAAATTATAAAAATTTAATAAAAATAAAAATTGTAAAATCATAAGTTGATTCGGCTAAAATTTAGGAGAAAAAAAATAGAAACATTTTTTAGAAAAGTTCTTTTATAATTGTTTTTTAATCTGACTCATTTATAATCTCATGAAATGATTTGAACCCGTGACACATTTTAATAGTAATAATTGCGTTACTTTTTTTTTTTTTTTATTTGGTCAGTAATATTTTTAGTGGACCGTTAAATTGGTCACTAAAATTAGTTATCACATGTCTTATTCCTTAAAATTACATATATAAAATAATTAGACTTTGAAACCAGAAAGTCATTTTAATTTAATTAATCCATAATATTATAAATTGATCAATTTAATTCCTAACTTTGATGCACACCAATTAATCTAATCTCTAATTTCGTTCTAAGTCAGTTTTAATTTTAGGGACTTGAAAGACTTGTTATTACCAAAGTTGAAAATTAAATTTTTGTTTTTTATGAACACAAAGAATTAAATTAACTAATACTTAAAATTTTTAAGACAAATTTAATGGATCATTCCTAATATTTTCATGGCTGTTGTAATTTCTTTTCTACATAAGCTGTTGACTCTGGAAGCAAGCTGCCGTGGCTTTTTCTTGTAAATTTTATTTAAGTTAAAAATATATATTTAATTTTTATAGTTGATATCTGCTTATAAATTAAATTTTATTTTTAAAAAATTATATTATAATTTTATATATTTAAGTCAAAGATCATTATTCATAGTCTAAAATAATTCATATTAAATAAAAAATTTATTAATTTGGTAAATAAATAAATTAATAAAAAATTATAACTATAGTTAATAAAATATTTAGAAAATTTTACATACAACAAATATTTTTTATTATCATTGAAAAAAAATTAGATATAGTTAAATAATTTTTTTATAGATAAAAGATCTAATTGGTAGAAAAAGAATCACGAGAATTAATGAATGAGGTTTTAATCCTAACATGGTTGGACTTTTATCATTTTCGTCTAAATAATCCTTCTCAACGGTTATGAATTGTGTTTCTAGTGCTACTCTTTCTATCACATGGAATGGAAAAAAATCAGATAGTTTCTCTCCTAACATGGATTTGAGACAAGAAGATCTTATATCTACTTATACATTTCTTCTATATATGTAGTTAGTTTGATTCAGAAGAAAATTCAAAAAAAGTAGTTTTTGTCTTAGTTTCTAAATGGTATTATTGTGTTTACTAGAATAAAAACTTCTCAAGTTAAATTGGTTTTCATGAAGTACTTATTACTTTTTGTAAAGATTCTGACTTGAAAGTTAATATAGAGAAATTTAAGGTCCTTTCTTCTAAAATGTTCTTAAAAAGAAGGTGACTAAATATACCTTTATTATTCATTTCCATCATACTTTTAATATTGGTAATTACCTAGGTTTTTCTCTTATTGCTAGAAGAATGAAGAACAAAGATTTTACATTTATTATAAATAAAATTAATGCTAAATTGATAGGGTGGACAAGAAATTTTTTACTAGACTTGGAATGGTAACTCTTGTTTATTGAGCTGTTTCAGCTATTCGTATTTATATTAAGTATAAATTGTGGCGTATTTATATTAAGTATAAATTGTGGTTATCTAATAGAGTTTATGATAGCATTGATGTTTATATTAGGATATTTATTTAGTTTAGTAATGCTAATAGGAGGTCTTGTCATCTAGTCAAATGTAATATGATTATTAAACATAAGAGAAATGACACTTAGTATTTATCCTGCTAGAGCTTCTAATATTACTATGTTGGAGAAGCATACTTAAGATATATTACATGGTATTAATTAATCATGGATGAGATTGTTGTCAGGAAAATATCTCAAAATTCTTCAATTTTTGGAGGTAGCTTATCCTTCAAATGCTTCCTATGTGTATCGTTCTATTTAGTTAGCAAATAATGAGCTTAAATCTGATTTTAAGTTTTGAATTGACCAATGTAATTGTTCCTTTTAGTATCATAAATGGCTTGATGAAGATTGTTTGTTGTATACACTAATTTATAGAGATGGTATGTGACATTTGAAGGATATAGTAACATACATACATGATGATGTTTGCTTGAAAATTATATCACTTTTACTTGTGGTGTTTCTATAATATTATTATTTTCCCTTTCTCTTGCAATGGGGTCTATTTGCCAAAAACAAGATATCGATGGCTTATGATTGAACTCTTTATTAATGATTCTTACATAAGAAGTTGGCTTTGGGTTGAAAACTCCTTTATCTCATAAAGTACAAAAATCTTCTTTTGGATCATGCTCCAAAATAGTTGACCTACTAACCAATTTTGCGATAATAAACACATTTTCCTTGATTTATCTTGTTGGTGTGGAGCATATGTAGAGATTATAACTTATTGCCTAAGGGACACTAAGCTTTAAAATTTTTTTATCTTACCTTAATTTTGTGTATAAATAGAATTTTTTAATCAAAATGGCAATGATTAGATAAAACATAATTTGCCACTAAGTCAACAAGATTAGTTGTGGAATGTTATAGTCAATTTGGTGGTTTGATTCATGATCATCTGAGTTCTTCATAGAAAATAGTAGCAAAGAAAATAAAAGTATAAAAAATAGAATGAGAGATAGGTATGAAAAGATGGTTATATAATTCAATATAGTGAGAGCCTTTTTTATAGATAAGTAAACAAAATCTGAGTAATTAAAAATTACCATAAAAGATAGAATGTAACAACCATTAACTTAAAACTCCTTAAAAACAAAAAATCATATCCCAATAAAGTATGACAATTATTAACTAGTAAAAACTAAATAAAATGTTACATAATAGAACTTCTGTGTTTTATGAATAACTCTCTCTTGAGTACTTTGGTGAAGATATTAACAACTAAATTTTCACTCCTATAATAAATTAGATTAATTACTCCATCATTACTCAGATTTCTTAAGAAATAAAATTTCAAATCAATGTGTTTGCTTCTTTGATTCTTGGAAATTTTGATTGCTAAATTATTGTCACAAAAATTCTTAGTAGCCTCGAGTTGTTGGAATTTCAACTCTTCAAGGACTCTCTTTAGCCATATGGCTTGATAAGCACAAGCACTTGCTGCAACAAATTTTGTTTTTGTGCTTGATAAAGTGACAATAACTCATTTTTTAGATAACTAAAAGACAACTTTTGTGCCAAACATGAAAACATATCTTAAAGTACTCTTTCTATTATCTTGATCTCCTGTATAATCACTATTAGTGAACTTAAACAGATTGAACTTTTCATCTTACTTGTAAAATAGTCCAAATTCTCTTAATCCTTGCAAGTAGCGAAGGATTCTCTTAGAGAATTTGCAAGTAGCGAAAGATTCTCTTAGAGAATACATTATATCTGACCTGTTAAACAACCCATAATTTGTTTGTAAAGTGTACTATTTACTTTATTCCCTTTAAGATCTTTGTGTAACTTCAAGTCACATTGAACTAGGGTGTTTATAAAATTGCAATCATGCATATGAAATTTGTCTAAAATTTCTTCTACATATTTCTTTTAACAAAAGAAAAATTCCATCATCTGATTGCACTATTTCTGTATCCAGAAATTAGTGCATCATGTCAAGATCAGTTATTTCAAATTCATTAATGATAGACTTCTTGAATTTATCAAACTTAGCAATACAATTTTCAGTAAATATAAGGTCATCAACATATAAACATACTATGAGAAATTTTCTTTTTTCTTCAAATTTAACAAATAATGATGCTTATAAGGACACTTTGAAAAATCAACTTTTATGAAATAAGATCCAATACGACTATACCAAGCTCGAGGAACTTGTTTTAACCCATAATATATATATATTTTTTAATTTGTAAACTTTGTGCTTATTTCCTATTTTCACATAGCTAGAGGATTGATTAATAAGTACTTGTTCCTCAAGTAGCCATAAAAGAACTTTGACTTTACATTTAGTTGAAAAATAGGCCAAGGATTTTGCATTGCCAATGCTTCACCAACCACCATTTCTTGTAACTGGTGTAAAAACTTTTGTATAATCAACCACATACTATTGCTTATAGCCCTGAGCCACCAAACATGCCTTGTACTTATCTTCTTCATCATTTTCTTAGTTTTGTTTTGAAAACCCACTTCATTGCTATGGTATTGTACTCATCCAAAAGATCATATAATTCTTATCATTTCACTACTAGAAAACCTGAAAATATAGTTAGATTTACAAACTAATTTTTTTCATTATTACAGACGGATTTTAGCTTTACAGAAGGATTTACAAATGGACTGGAGCCATCTGTAATATGCGCGTCGGTAAATAAATACAGACGGATTTTTAAATCCGTCTGTAATTTACAGATGAAAAAATCTGTCTGTAAATTACAAACTTTTTCGTCTGTAATTCGTTTATGAAATTTTAAAAAAATTGTTTCATTTTTTTATAAACATAATTATTCCAGGTTGTTCCTAATTATCACAATTTATAAACATAATAAAAACTATAAAATTATATATTTAAAATAAAAAATTATTTATAAAAGGTAAAATTAAATTTTCATTACAAATGAAGAAGTAAACATCTAAAAAAATAATATAAAAAATAAAATAACATTGTATATCACTAATAATCGGTGTGATTATCTTCTAAAAAAGTATCGCCATCAGTAGAAGAGGAGTCAGAGGAGGAATGACACATGAAGCTAAAGATTGGTGGTGTTGGAGCTGGTGGAGGAGGAGGAAGAGGTGTAGAGGTGCGTGCTCTCATGAGCTTAAAGTATGCATACATCTGCATATGCTGTTGCTACATCTGTTATTGCACCTCTCTTTGCATCCTCGATGTCGCCTTCTTCTCTATCTTCTTCTCCATTTTCTTCGCCCACTTCTTCTTTCATGCACTTTCCTTACTCTTCCACATCTCTTCATTTTGCTTATGCAGTTCTTCATTGAGGGCATGGACTTAAGTGTGGACCATTACATAAATTTCTAATGTAAATTTTGGCAGAATCTCCCCTAATATATGAATATTTTCTTATATTTGTTTACACTTAATAAATAAAATTTCTAATTTATATTTTGGTAGAATCTCTCATAATATATGAATATTTTCCTATATTTGTTTAAACTTAATATAACAAATTTTTTCGGCAGAGTATTCCCTAATATTATAATATTTCCTTACATTTGTTTAGACGTACTTAATACAAAAATTTAAATTTTCTTTACACATAATCTATATATTATATAACAATTTATTAATCAATTTATGATTCTTGGTGGCTGGTATTTCTTAATAGTTCAGTAATTCATCTTCCTATTATGAAATCTGAAAATGCTGCCTTATGGTTAAAAATTAGAACTAAGAATTGCCATGTGCCTAGTAATAAATCTTTTAAATTCTTAACTCCTTGGATACGCCATGAAAATTTTAAAGATCAAGTTAAGAACTCCTGGATCCCTTCAAATCATTGGAATGAAAATATAAGTAATTTTCAAAGGAATATTTCTGATTGGAATGTAAATATTTTTGGTAATATCTTTAGAAGGAAAAGGAGGTTATTAAACAGGATTAGGGGCATTTCTACTAAGTTAGATACTCAGAATAACCCCTTCCTTGTGAATCTTAGGAAATCTTTATGGCTGGAGTACAATAATATTATGGACTCTGAAGAAGCTTTTTGGTTCTACCATTATAAATCTAGCTGGATTAATTTAGGGGATAGGAATAATGAGTTTTTTCATAGGGCTGTTATGATTCGTAGACAAGGTAATAAAATTGAGGCCCTTAGGAATGACAAAAGGGATTGGGAATTTGATCCTATCATTCTCCAAAATATGGTTGTAAAGTATTTTTAGGATATCTATAATGATCCTAGTCCTGATGCTGTCCCCCTTAAAACTATTTCTACTTTTCTTGCACTTAGGCCAGAGGATCTTGACATCATAAATTCTGTCCCCACCATAGCTGAGGTCAAAACTGCTCTTTTCAATATAGGGAATTTTAAGGCTCCTGGCCCAGATGGGCTCCATGCTGTTTTCTTTAAGACCCAATGGAACTTATTGGCTCCTCTCATTTTTAAATTTGTTACTGAGATTTTTAATTATCCATCCAAAATTGCTGAAGTTAATGAGACTGTGATTTCTCTAATCCCTAAAGTTGATGTTCCTTCTCTTGTAAAACATCTCAAACCTATTTCCTTATGCAATGTCAGTTATAAAATCATAACTAAAATGCTGGCTAATAGAATTAAGGGAGTCCTTCCTCACATTATCTCTCCCAATCAAACTAGTTTTATTCAAGGACGACAGGGTATTGATAATACTCCTATTTTGCAAGAGCTTGTCCACTCCCTGCATAACCTTAATCAAAAGCAAAAATTCATGATAATTAAAATTGATTTGGAGAAGGTATATGATAAACTTAGGTGGAATTTTCTCAGAGATACCCTTCAGTCCATTGGTTTTAATGATCCCTTTTATTCTCTTGTGAGTCATTGTATATCTTCCTCTTCTATGTCTATCAATTGGAACAGTTGTAGATCTGAGGTTTTCAAGCCTGGTAGGGGTATTAGGCAAGGAGATCCTATTTCTCCCTATGTTTTTGTTATGTGTATTGAGAGACTTGCCCATATGATCCAGGATAAAATTAATGATAGGTGTTGGGTGCCTTTTTCTTTCAATAATAATGGTCCTAAAATTTCTCATTTAATGTTTGCTGATGACATTATCCTTGTGGCCAGAGCTGATAGACAGAATGTTTTAGCTATTTCTGATGTTCTAAATAGTTTTTGTTCTGCCTCTGGTCTCTCTGTTAATAAGGAGAAATCTTCTGTGTTTTTTTCCAAAGGTTGTGCTCCTACTATTTCTCAAGATCTTAGTAGTTGTTTAGGTTTTAAGCAGTCTTCTCATGTCAGTACCTATCTTGGAATCCCTATTAGTCATCTTAGTCTTTCTCGTCAGGACTTTAAATCAGTTTTGGATAAAATTAGAAAGAAGCTTTCTATTTAGAAAATGAATTCTTTGTCCATGGCAGGGAGGATCACTCTTGCACAGAGCTGTTTAATGAGTATTCTCAATTATGTAATGCAGCCTGTATCTATCCCTATTTCTATTTGTAAAGAAATTGATCAAATCTGTAGAAAATTCATTTGGGGATCTTTGAGTGGGAAAAAATGTCATTTAGTTAGTTGGAAAACTATTTGTAAACCTAAAAGTGAAGGGGATTTAGGATTTCGTGATATTCACTTAACCAATAAAGCTTTCTGTATGAAACTCTATTGGAGACTCATTGCATCTCCTCATGATCTTTGGGCTCAAGTGGTCTGACATAAGTATAAGTTTAGGTTAGGAAAATGGCCGACTTGCTCTAATTGTAATAAATCTTCTCCCCTGTGGAAAAATCTGGTTGTTGTTTGGGACTCTTTTAATAAAGGTATTAGTTGGATTCTTGGTAATGGAATGACAATCAGATTTTGGAAGGATTCTTGGATTCCTAATATTAATAATCTTGCCAGTTTTGCTCTCTATCCTTTGAATGAGGATGAATTGGATGATCCTATGACCTTGTTTTCTAATCTTGTTTGCTGGAATTGGCCAAAAATTAGGCAAATTTTACCTATGCATATTTGTAATTTGATTGCTGGTTGTGATCCTCCTTTACTGACTAATGATAATGATCAAGTCTTCTGGAATCTTGAAGGTAATGGTAAATTTTCTCTTAGGTCTGCTTATAGTCTATTATCTAATTATAACCATGAGAATTTAGGAAGAAACCATAATTTTAATCTTATTTGGGATTGTAAGGCCCTCCCTAGATTTTCTGTTTTTCTCTGGAAAGTAGCCCATGGAAGGCTTTTAACTAATGCTGAAAGATTTAATCGTAATATGACTTCTTCCTCTTTGTGTCCTAGATGTAATGAAGCTCCTGAAACTGTGATTCATGTCTTGAGAGATTGCTAGTGTGCTACTCAAATCTGGTCCAAAATTTTTCCTCCTGATCATTGGGTTCTCTTTTTCAGTTTGAGCCTCTCTAATTGGATTAATTTTAATTTGTCTAATAATAATGTTTCTGGTCAGGTTTGCTGGAAGCCTCTTTTTATGTCTGTGACCTATAATCTTTGGTATAATAGGACTTGTTTTGTTTTTAATAATTCCCCTTTGGATAATAATGCTTTGTCGCAGAAAATTATTCACGATTTTGATTATTTCTCTCTTTGTAGTAGGGGTTCCTTCAATTCGGTTGCTGCTCTTTCCAAACACCATCATCAGATTCGTTGGCATCCCCCTTGACTCATCAGTTCAAGCTGAATACGGATAGGTCAATTTTGCCTAATTTGGGTTTTGCTCGCTGTGGTGGTCTCATCCGGGATCATAATGGTATTTTTTTAGCTGGTTTTTATAAATCTCTTCCCAGCTGCTGAACTTTGGGGTATTTGTTGGGGTTTGCAATTAGTCATTCATAAAGGAATCTAGGTTATTTGGATTGGCAATGATTGTAAAGAGGCCATTTCTTTAATTGTAAACATTCAAGATAGTAGGCACCCTCTTTTTTTTGTAATTCAGGAAATTAGATCTCTTTTGCATAGTATTAAATTTGTTAGATTTAGCCATGTGTTAAGAGAGGCCAATCATTGTGCTGATTGGTTGGCTAAGTCTGGAAAAATTCTTGGTTTGGAGTCTTGGTTTGATGAAGCTCATGCTTCCCTCCTTCCCCTCCTTAGGCTTGATTTGTTAGGGTCTTCATGGCCTAGACTTAGTTTCTAGTCTGTTTGTTTTGTCTTGGGTTTTGAAGCCCCATTTAAATAGCAAAAAAATAAAGAAACTTACACATTACAATCCTAAACCGTTCTAGAGCACATCCTCTTATAACTCTACAATATGCATATTTTACAAACTCTGCAAACACAAACAATCCCACAACACACAATAATCGAGTTCGGAGAAGGACCTCTACGCCCTTCCTCCTAGTCATGCAATCTCCAATCCTACAATTCTATATTATAAATTTTAAGTCTCTAAAATACATCAAAAATAAAAAAACTAAACCGATTTAAAGTTAGAGTATCGTACCAAGAACACAATGATACAAATTTTGTTTCAAATGAATGCTTCAATCAGTCGCAAAAGCCAAAAAACTGAAGTTCCTAGAGAGAGAGAGCAAATTATGTAAAATGGGAAAGGAAAAGGAGGAGGCGCGGTTTTAAGGATTTCACACATTACAGACGAAAAAATTCGTCTGTAAATAGTTTAATGAAACAGTGCGTTTAAAAGGTTCATTTACATACGGATTTTTCTGTCTGTAAATTCATCAAGTCCAATTGTTAGATGAAAAGTCGGTCAAAAAATACAATATTTACAGACGGATTTTTCCTTTTGTAACTCTCGCTCTAAATTTCCCTCCCATTTTCAAATTATAGACAGAATTTCTGTCTATATTATTTTGCGCCAAATGGCAGGCAAACAGAGGACCATTTATCCGTCTGTAATACAGACAGATTTATAGACAGATTTTTCATAAATTAAAAAAAAAATCTATAAATTCATCTGTAAAATCGTCTGTGGCCGTCTGTAAATGGCGCTTTTCTAGTAGTGTTTATCTCAATTGAATCAATTTCATCATCTCACTCTTCATTTGCTTCTTTAACAACATTTTCAAAAGTTTTAGAATCATATTCTAAAAACAAAGCAAAATGAGCAACAAGAGCTATAATTCTCATTACCTTATGATCAGATATCCATGCAAGTCATCTTTAAATGTGGCTGTTGGAACTTTTTGTTCTTCTTGCTCCTTTGACTGTGGCTCTTCATCTTCATGAAAATTTGCAAGAATTGTATTTGTTTCATCTATATTATTTTCTCAGAATCTTTCTTCATTGAAAATAATATGTTTTTTACTTATCCCTTATCACTAACCAAAAAAAAAAAAAACAATTTTCACCTTTATCATCAAACTTTGATCTTTTTTTGGTCTAGAATGTAGGCATAAACATTGAAACTAAAAATCTTTAATGGTCCACAATTGGTTTCTTTCGCTCCCTGCCTTTTTTTCTCTTTTAGATACTATTTTATTGTGTATATGTTGTTGTCAACTCTTTTCAGATTCCATATTTTTCACTAAAAATAAAATAAAATAAAATAATCTGAACAATAACCTTCACCATGGTCTATTTGAAGAGACTTAATCGTCTTTCACGATTTAGTTTCAACCTAAGCTTTGAAGCTTTTTTTTTAAAAAAAACTTTTGATTTTTCCTATAGAAAATAGACCTAAATTTTGAAAGAAGTTAAGTATCTTTTAACTTCATTAGAAGACAATTTTATTGGACCTTAAATATTTGAATGCACCAATTTCAAAACACTTTGCTCTATATGATTTATCATTAGAGAATTAAGAATGTGATGTTAAGAATGATGTAGTTTGCTAATATCATATTCTTCATAGACTTGAAAAGGACCAGTAATTTGTGGAAGACTTATCACTGTGTCTTTTTGTTTAGTGGTCTTAAATCCACTGAAGTTCAAATGGCCATAACGATAATGCCACAACCAAGAAGAATTAATAACTTTAGCAATGAAACCAGATTGAATGCTTTCAATTTTCAGTGAGAATAGCCTATTTGAACTCATTTTTATAACTGTAATGACACCTCGAAAAGGATAAAAAATTTCACAGGCACTTTTGCTAATAAAAATTTCATCACCTTTTTCTTGTAATTGACTAGCACTTAACAAGTTACTTTTCAAGTCAAGAAAATAAAATACATTAAAAAATATTTTTACAAAATCATTCTTAGTTTTTATCTTAATATCACATTTTTCCATCACTTTCACAATAAAGCAATCACCAAAACTCATAGTAGAACGAAAATTTCATTTAAATATAAGAAAAGGGATTTACTTCTATATATCATATTTTGTCTTGTTGTCCTTTGCATCTTCAACAACCATCAACAAGGTTTCTACTTCTTTCTCCTTAACATAATTTGAACTTTCTCCCTTTTTCTTTAAGATTAGGTAGTCTAGTATAACATTCAGATGTATAATGACCAAATTAATGACATCTAAAGCACTCTACCTTTGATTTCTTAGGATGTCTCCCTCTTTCTTTGCTTTGAAATTGGTCCTTGTTTCCTTTATAGTTCTTGTTGCTTGTTGGAATCTCTATTTCTTCAACCTCCACACCCTTAAACAAACTCCTTTCTCTAGAGTTGTTTGAATGAGTATTGGTAGAAACCTTCAAAGTTTGCTCCTCCATTGTTGAACTTCTATTCATGGACCAGCAAAGAACTTTGGTGTTAATGAGCATAAAATTTTTTCAATAATGGTTATGTCATCTATCTTCTCACTGTGAAATTGCATATTGTTAACAATACCCAAAGTCCTTGAACAATATCCAGTCACAAATTCACCTTCCTTCATCTAAAGGATTTCAAATTTTCTCAAAACTTAAAGTTTAGCATGTTTAACTCTTGAGAAGCGTTAATATTTTTTTTTCATTGAATCCCAAATATCATTGGAAGTATTTTTGTGAAGAATAGTTTCAAGGATAGAACGATCAATGACATGAAACAATTAATTCTTGATTTTCATGTCTTTCAATTTCATTGCATCAAACTTCTTTTGTTTTGTAAGAGCTTTGCCATCTTTTGGTGTTGCCACACCATCTTTAACAACCTACTAGTACTCTTTAGACCTCAAGAGATTCTCGATTAGCATGCTCTAATGGTTTTAGTGATCATTAAATCACATAATGGCTAGTTGCACATAGTTTTAAGAAGTCATTAGTGGGATAATTATTCTCTTTTCTCCTTCTTCACACTCTTGAACTACTCCTTTTTGCTCTATACTTTTAACACTTTGAATTTGTTACTTTTAATCATAACATAGAAAATAGCAGCAAAAAAAAAAAAAGTATAGAGGATAGAAGGAGAGATATGTGGAAAAAGATGGGTATATAATTAAGAATAGTGAAAGTCTTTTTTATTGATAAGTACACAATTATAGTAATTAAAAATCACCATAACAAAAATCATAACAATCATTAGCTTAAAACTCCTTAAAAACACAAAATAAAATGTTACTAAACAAAAAATGTCAACATTTGAAAGATTGGTTTTGACTGTTTGTGATTAGTTAGACTTACTTTTATACCGTCAATAACTTAATATAAAAAATATTTTTTTATTGATCCAACCATTGAATTATAATTATATATTACCTTAATTATCTTTCTTAAAATTAAACAATTATAAGAATGTAATTAAATGGTTCTTATTTATGTATATTTTAAAGTATATATTACATTAATTTTAATGCATATGAATGATGTATCAAATATTTTTAAATTAATTTAAAATTTTGTCGATAAGACTTGTGATTAAAATTTTTAATTTAATAATTATTTTTAAGTACACAGAATGACACACAGTTATACAAAGATATAATAATATTTTTTTAATTTTATTTTCAATTTATTTTTAATTAAAATAATTAATTTCTTATTATATTTGAATATATTTATATTTTTTGTTTACATTTATCTGATCAATTATTATTATATATTATGATATATCTTACTTAAATAATGCTTCTATTGTTAAATTAATATGTAAATTCAGTTAATATAGTTTAATAACATAAAAAACCATATACTATAATAATTCATTAATAAATGATAATATAATATACTTCATAAATATCCTATATATAAAACTAGACTAGACATTTTCGTAATTGGATTGGTGCCGTAACAATGTATAACCAAAATATCACTTGAGTACTATTTTGTTCGCTGCATCTAATTTACGATGTAAGTTTTCTGTGAGTAAATAGATCTAACAATAGGAGTAACATTGGAATCCTGCAAAATTGACATTACGAGCACCTTTACCCAGTAGGAGCCCGAAATTAAATTCATAGTTGAATTTGTAGTTGTAAAGAGGAAGCTGTTATGGCATTCCATTTCCTGACAAATTTAACAAGTAAAAAATATTTCCTGTGCGAAATATTAATTATCATAAATGATGAATTCAAAATTGGCAATGAAAAACTTAATTTACCTCCCAAGACATACAAGTTACTTAGCATTAGCAATACATTTTTCACTTTTATTCAATTACTGTGGAACTGGAATACAGTTCTGCAATGACATACTTAAAACTCATGAATTGTTATCATTCCCATCGGTTACATAACAAGTATACACTTTCTCGATACCTTTTCATCCTCCAAACCCTTAAACTCACCCCTTTCCAAAACCCAATCTTCTATCATTGCCAGAGAATTCAGAGGTTGGTCAGTAGGCAAAACATGGCCAGCCCCCAAAACTACAACATTGGTGAGTGACTTCCAATTTTGTACATACCCTGCAAGCTCTCCATTTACTTTCCATATCTTCCTTTCAGCATTCAGATACTCCACAATCCCTTCCCATTTCATTGTCTTCACCCATGCCTCTGCTTGGACCACACCATCCTGCACATCGTACTGACCTTGATACAACAACACCCTAGTCTTCCTTACCAAGTGCTCCACCATATATTTCACACTTTTCATTACGTCAGCATGTAATGCAGCCCCAACAATATCACTGCATATCTCATATACAAATGATTCGTTGACTCCCAAGGCCTTCTTCACCTCAGTGATGTTCAAGAACTGCTCAACCAAATCACTTTGATAAGGTTCTTTCCTTGTATAGTCATACAAAGTAGCCAACCCCGACATGTTTTGTAACATGTCCAAGACTTCGTTCCTCGCATCTGTTGCTTCACTCCAATTCCCCTTCTGGGCCATTCTAACTGCTTCCAATTGAGCTTTCTCCAATTCATTCTTTTGCCTCTCATTGATCAACCCAACATAGTAAGCATTGGCAGCATGAGTGACCACTTGGGCTACAGGATCGGTTAACCCATCACCAATTGCCACACCAGCCAAATTCACTCTTTCAGAAACCTTCAAGTTTGCATTTTTCTGCAATATATAATACCCAATTGCAGGTACATACTTGCCAGCATAGCTTTCCCCTGTAATATAAATAGGACGGTTCTTGAAAACAGGATCAAGTTGAATGAACCTTGTTATAGCAGCAAAAAGGTGTTTAGCAACGGTGCTTTGATCGGTTGGAATTTCTTCTGGCGTGGAGGCAACACTGAAGCCAGTTCCAATTGGATTATCAAGAAAAAGAAGGCCAAAAATTCTGTTCCAAGCACCAGGGTTGGGGTGAAGGGTAAGGGATTTGGTGACACGCCAGGGTCCAAGCTCGTAGAAGTTGCCAATCATGGAGGAGCAACCGGGGCCACCTTGGAGCCAAATGAGAAGTGGGGTTTGAGAAAGAGGAGAAGTTGAGTTTTGGGCTTCATAGAAAGTGTAGAAAATTGCAGAAGCAGAAGTGGGGGTAACTGGGAGGTAACCAGATTTGGTAGGAAGGGCTTGTTTGGGGAATGTAGGAGTTTTTTCAGAAGCAAGTTCTAGCGAAGCTGAGAGGAGGAAATGAAAGATGCTGAGGAATAAAAGGGTAAAGGAGAGGTGGGTGGTTGTCGCCATGGAAGGGAGGACTCAGGGTCACTTGAATTGTGTAACAGTACATGTTATTGTTGGCTAATAAAAGATGGATTAAAATTCGAAAATATGAATGAAATCACATGTTGCGCGAGGGATTTTTTTTTTATTCTTTTGACGCGTGAATCTAACTGTAGGTTGACAATAATAGTAAGATGAGAAAAAAATGAGTGTATAGACAGAGTCAATTAAAGCAAGACTGTATACGTGGATTTTTAAATTTTAGTCTACCTGAATGTTTTTCTTCCAAAATATCCCATTTATTTTGTTTAAATTGCCGGAAAAGGAAAAGAAATCAATAATGTATAAAATATTAAATTATTTATATACTTTATTGTAAAAATATAATTATGTACAACATAATATAATAATAAATAATGTTATAATTTTTAAATGAAATATGTGAAATTTATAATAAATAAATATTGCATTATTATTTATCTATAGATTATTTATTATTTTTTACTCAATTATACGAATTTAATCTATTCCCTAAGAGAGAAATGTTTACTCTTGATTACACACAAGCATAACACGTCAAGCAGAAATATGAACCTCTTCAAAACAAATTGAATGAATTTGTCCGCTCTAGTGAATGCAAATGAAAGTGTCAAAATAAAAACGTTAAGAAGAAAGTGAGTGAAGAATTTCTAAACAAAATCAAGTGTTAAGCAATTCCGATTCAAGAGAAAGTATAATGAAAGAGTGCACGAGAATCAAGCTTTGAAAAATAGAAATGAGTGTTAGAGGAGAAAACAAATAAATGACTTTCAGATTAATAATAAATAAATAAATATTGCATTATTATGTATCTTTCTATTTATACATTATTTAACAAATTTTCTATTTTGACTCTTTTATATGACTTTTTTTTCTTTTTATCTTAATTTAAATGATCTTTTCATTCATTTTTGTTTATTTAATAATTAAAAATTTATTTTAATTTTCCTTTTATTCTCTGTACTTTAATTTATATATAAAAAAAAAAGACTACACGGAACAACACCTTAATCATGTTTTATTTTTTTTACATTTAATGTCCTTCATATTTTAAGAGATAATCAATATATTCTCAAAAATAATCATCCTGAAAAGGAACAAAAATAAAGTAATGTTTAAAACTTAGGTATGTTTGTTTTCTATTTTTAAAAGAGTTTTAATTGTTTTTTAAATATAGTATAAATTTATATTATATTTAAAAAAATTAAAAATTCTTTTTAAAAGAGAAATCAAACATATCCTAGTAATTGGTATTGAATGAATTTATTTATATTTTTATTAATTAATTTAAATTAAAAATAACTAAAAATAATTATAATTTAAATATGAAAATAAATATTTATTATATATTTATTAAATAATTATCTTAACGTAAACTAAAATAAAAAATAAAAAATAAAAAATTGATTAATTTTCAAAAAAATTATATCTTAAAAAATAAATATAACAATCAATCTTAATTTATATTTTAAATGTTATAATTTATTTATCTATTTATTTATTATGATATAAAAATATTAAGTATAAAAATTAAACAATTATTATAAAACTTTAAGAACAAATCATATTTATATATTTTCTAAATATATTAATATTATAATTAATTAATTTTAATTTAAAAATTTGAAATCTATAATTACTATTATAATATTTAATAATAAATAAATATTGCAATAGAATAATTAAATATAAATTATTATTAATTATACTTTATTTAAAAATTTTAAATTTATCATCATAATTAAAAAATTAAATTATTTAAAATATTAATTAAAAATTAAGTAAAAGCTAAAAGAAAAGAATATTTTTATTAATAAAAAAATATTTTTTGTATCAATTAAAATTACAATATATATATATATATATATATATATATATATATATATGAGTTACATGTAAAATTAAAAAAAATTATATTAATAATAAAAATATATATTAAAATAATAATATATGTATAATAAAATAATTAAATGTCTTGATAAAACATGAAATGCTGGTCACATTTTATTTTTAAAATTATAAAAAATCTTAAAAGTATATCTATAATAATATAATAAATATTTTTAATCTTCTAAATCTTTTAATGTTTCTTTTTATTGAGTTCAATTTATCTCTTCTTTTTCATGTTGGAACCAAAATATAAAGTATAAATTAAATTATTGTATGATTTAAAATATTTTGACAAAATATAAATTTTATAATTTATATATTAATTTTTTTATTATTTTTTGATAAAGTTGTTATTTCTATGATTGGAAATTCACTCAAAAAATTTATTATTTCCAAGTCAATTTTACGTTCTTTTAACTAACTTTTTTGTTTTTCAACCTGCAAATATAAAATAATTAAAATAAAATTATTTTTACTAATATTATAAATTTAATAAATCAAAATTATAAAATTGTAAATTATTTTAATTATTACTACATTACCAAATTTAAAGTTTGATTTGTTATTAAATTATTTTCTATAATTTTTTAAGTAAATATTTATTTTTATTTAAAAAACATGTGAAGTGTATATAATATTTAAAAATTATAAAAATAATCTCAAATCATCTGCATTATCTTTTAAAAGAATTATCACATAAAATAAATATATACTTTTTAATTTATTTTATTATATAATTAATCATATTTACCTACGATTTCAAAGATTAGAGTAATGTTCTTTAATTTTATTAATTGTTCAACAAATTTATTAATAGCTTGAGATTTTGATTTTTGTAATATTATTTGTGAATTAGATCTATTAAAGATATATATGTGATTAAGTATCTTTATATTCATTGGCGCATATTTGTTCTAAGTCACTCACTTGTGGACTCGTACATATCATAACATTAAGTTTACTCGCTGCATATTCTCTATGGATAAACTTCTATAAAATTTTTTATTAAAAAAAATATAAAAAATTAATTTTTTTTATAAATTAAAAACAACTTATTTCTACAAATTTTTTAAAAAATTAAATAAAAGAATTTTAATAATTTATAAAAGAAATCATTTATATTTTTAAGTAATTTTCTTTCCTGTGTTTCAACTTTTTTATGAGTTTATTTAAAAAGGGTTATATTTTGACTAAATTAAAAAGTTTAATTCAATTACATTTTCAAAGAATTCAATGTAATCATTGACCGATTGATAAGTGTATAAAATAAGTGATTTGAAATGATGACTTAAATATTTTTTATGTTAAAAATCGGATTATCTTGTTAAATTCTCTTCAAACTTGGAACTTTTACAAATACATATATATTTTTTAAAATGAATGCAATTTTCTGATTATAAACTCTTTTTGATCTATTTTGTAACTAGAATCATAAAAGAAACATCACTTAAGGTTGAAGAAGATTAGAAAAAGTTAGAGGAGGAGTAATTGAAGCATGAAATTGCAGAAAAGTCAGCTTCTAGAGGTTTCTTTCTGTAGCGAGACACACTTGTTGCAGCGAGAAAAGCTATTGTGAAGAGGATGATTTTGTACTCTTCTCGCTTCAGCGAGAATGACTCGCTGTAGAAAGATACTTTTGGATCGCTGTAGTGAGAATCCTAGCTGCAACGAAAGGCAAACAGAATGACCTAATTTCTATTTCCGTTTCTCGCTACAGCAAGGGACTGTCGCTGTAGCGAGAGGAGCTCGAGCAGACCTATATAAAAGGAAAAATTTTCTGTTTAGAAGGCGGTTACTGTTCCAAAACCATTTTCCTGAGGTCCAGAATGGCGCAAGGCAAAGAAAAAGAGTAGGAATACTCAGTTTTTGGTGTTTTCTCCCTTTTGTATCTCCATTTTTTGTTGAAATGGTTACCATGAGCAGCTAAACCTTGTATGGGATTGAATGTAAAACTTCAAACTTGATGTATTCTCAGTAATCTATATAAATATAGCTGTTTCTTCTTCATTTCTAATGATTTGGTGATCTCAATCCGTTTTAATGGTTGAATCTAGTTATTTAACAATTTCTGGAGTTCAGATCTGAGTTGTATTTGGGAAGATATTATTTAGATCTAGATTTGATTGAGATTACTCAATAACTGGTTATTCTAGGAATAGATTTCAAGTTGTTGATTGCTTTTAAATCCTAATTTTAATGCTATATAGTTTATTAACTATTTGAGGAATCAAGATTTGAAAAATTATCTTAGGACTATATTTTCAAGGAATTGAAATATATAACTTTCGTATTTTGCATCAGATTCATTGAAAATAGTTGCTATATTTATCACTGGATTACTAGTATATAGAGGGAGAATAAATGAAATTCAATCCCAAATTTTTTAACTTGAATTTTACCATATTTTACTTAGTGCTTTACATTTTAATTATTATTTAATATTTCATGAAAATCATTCACCAATTCTATTGTATATAAGCTCAATTAATTTGTATCTTATTAATTAATACATTTGAATTGCAATCTGAGGACGATATTCCGGTACTCTGCCAGTTATTACTTGCAACAGACTCGGTACACTTGCCATGTTTGAAGGAAAAGAACCAACACTGGTTAATATAAATATGTTTCGTAAACAATTTTAATGTAATTTAGGAGTTAATAACGATGATGATGTTTTTTATATTATTGAAATGTAATTACATTTCAAAAGTATTGTTTTTTATTGTATCTGCTTTGAGTCTTTATAAATTGATCAATTCAATGTAAATCACAAAAGCTGAAGCAATAAATTAGAGGGTTAAATTAATAAAAAATTTAAACTATTAAAGGAATTTTTTTTTATTGAATTAGATAATTTTAAATTTCATTTGAAAGGCCGGTTCAATCAAATTTAAATGATATTTATATGTAGATATATAATTTTATTTAAAAATTTTAACTTCTCATTTATACTTATACTAGTAATTCTTGTATACACTACATGAATATTATTAAATTAAATATTTAAATAAATAATTACAAATATATTATGCAACTTATCGTAAATTTAATAAATTTTATTTATATTAAAAGAGTAAAATTCAAAACAAGATTTATAAAATTAAATATTAAACATAAAAAAAATCACATGACTTAATTAGGAAGATAGTAATATTTAATTTATAGTATTTTTTTTTTGCTAAGAATTAAAA